TAGTCTCAATTTAGATATAACTAATTGTAAGATTATTTGGTAACAATGCCAAAAACTCTAATTTGACATCTAATTTGCCAGTGTGGCAATCAAACGAGAAAAAAAGGTTTTTTAAAAAAAATATTGACAAGTATTAATATTTCTTCTCGACATTTTGGTAATAAAACAAAAATCTTATAAAATCAAGCGCAGTAATTATTTCGACGTTGACTTTATACAGCAAGGCAAGCTTAAAAATGATTGCGCTTAATTTTAACTGACAGCTAAAGAAAAAAAAAAGAAAGAAAAAATTCTGACATAATTAGTGATGCTGCCCAGGTTTGGAATAGTGAATAAAAAAACGACTTGTGAAAGAGCCAAATGGGACGTGACATATACAAAAAAAGAGGGAAAAGTCGAACGTTTTTGTATGCTGTCAATAAATTATGAATGCGTTAGTTTTGTTTCGTGCTGGAAATAATTCGACTTTTTTTTTATTCACCCAAGTATCGATCCCGCTTTCATCTTAGAATCGACTACACCGAAAGGCGTTTCCATTGAGAAAAGTTAAGGGTTGCTTTTAGCTAGGAAAATCGATTTTAAAGTATCGTTCATGAATATGCTTAACATGTTTGTTGACTTGAAAGTGTTTTTACTGACGTCATGATGATGGTTTTATTGACGTCATGATGATGGTTTTATTGACGTCATGATGATGGTTTTATTGACGTCATGATGATGGTTTTATTGACGTCATGAGGACATTTTTTATTGGTGTCATAATTTAAACCCTGCCATATAAAAAAAACTTATCAGTTAATGAACGGGCCATGCAAATTACAAAATTGTTTGCTTATCAAATATTGATGCTTGGATAAGGACTGCTGTGCTAACAACACAAAGCACAGTGTAAACAGAGTTTTAAACGGATACCGTGGTCTACAGATCTACAGATATACAAGACCTAATCACAAGACCTAACTACAGACCTCCAGAGACACAGCCCTACAGAGAAACAGACCTACCAAGATACAGACCTAACTACAAGACCTAACTACAGACCTAAAGAGACACAGACCTACAGAGATACAGACCTAACTACAAGACCTAACTACAGACCTACAGAGACACAGACCTACAGAGAAACAGACCCACCAAGATACAGACCTAACTACAAGACCTAACTACAGACCTAAAGAGACACAGACCTACAGAGATACAGACCTAACTACAAGACCTAACTACAGACCTACCGAGACACAGACCTACAGAGACACAGACCTACAGAGACACAGACCTACAGAGATACAGACCTACCGAGATATAGACCTATAGAGATGCCAAACCTATAGAGATACAGAACTATAGATATACGGACCTAAATAAAAACCTAGAAAGATACAGGCCTAGAGATATACAGACCTATCAAGATACAGACCTAACTATAGACCTAACTACAGACCTATCGTAGACCTATAGAGATACACACCTATAGAGAGTCAAAACTATAAAGATACGGACCTAACTAAAGACCTACAAAGGTACAGACCTAGAGAGATACAGACCTAGAGAGATACAGACCTAGAGAGATACAGACCTACAGAGATACAGACCTACAGAGATACAGACCTACAGAGATACAGACCTATAGAGATACAGACCTATAGAGATACAGACCTACAGAGATACAGACCTATAGAGATACAGACCTACAGATATACAACCCTACATAGATAAAACCTAACTAGAGACCAACAGAGCATATATTGATCTGCTGAGATAAATAACTACACAAATATAGACCTACATAGATACAGACCAAAGGATTGCAGAAGACCTACAAATACAGACCTAGGGATTGCATATCACCTACAGACATAAATATTTAATTACTTGAGAAGACCTAATGATTGCAGATGACCTAAAGATACAGACCTAAGAATTGAAGATGACCAACAAATACAGACTTTGCAGATGACCTACAGAGATGCGGACCTAATGAGTACATGTAACCTACAAATACAGTCCTAAGGATTGCAGATGACCTACAGAGATGCGGACCTAAGGATTGCAGATTACCTAAAGATAAATACCTAAGATTACAGATGACCTATAGATGCGAACCTAAGGATTGCAGATGACCTACATATACCTAAGATTTACAGATGACCTATAGACCTAAGAACTACAAACAACCAACAGCTCCAGACCTATCAACCACAGCACACCTGCCATCAGCACACACACCCCTCCCCCCGCCCCCCACGGCCAATCCATCAATCAATAGGTGTGCTACAATGTGCTGCTCTATAAATGATGAGCAACACAATGGAGCCGCTTGCAAACAAAAGCCCCTCCCCTTTTCCCACCCCACCCCGGGGCTCCCCGTGTGTAAGGTGGGGGGGGGGGGGGATGCTGGAAGCGAAGGACGGGCAATGGAACGATACTACATGCATGGCTTGGTGGAAATAAATAAACTAAAAAGAAATGAGGAGAAATGTCTTAGGCTTAGGGCGTCTCATTTGTCAAGGTTTGTTTCATTTGCAAGTGGTTGTTTGAATATTTAATCAAAACATGGTTTTTTATTTCATCCTTTAAGCATCTTCCTCCACCCCCCCCCCCTCTATCTCCCTATCTACAACTTTGTATTGATGTTTGCAAGACTCATACACGACCCAATATGTATGAATATGTTGGTATTGTTGGCGAACATCAAAGAGAAACAAACTTCTGTGTTCGACGTTTGAAGTTGGCCAGGTACTAGTAAGAACTGTTGGCTATTTACTAAAGCGTTGGCAGGTCCTATATTCGAGGCTATGTTTTTCCCCTTGAATAACTACTCCAAACCTTATCCAAACACTAATACTAACCTCCGTTCTACACTAATCCTAACTATAAATATCTGCAACCCTTACCTTAACCCTAATAGAATTCCTACGAAAAAAATCTCGATATTACATTTAACTGTAGCATTGTGTCTGAGTTATTTTAAAGAATATATATATATATATATATATATATATATATATATATATATATATATATATATATATATATATATATCCCAAAAATGCATTGTGTTCTTTAATATATTCTTTAAAGAATATATATATATAACATTTTTTTCCCCAATAAAATACATTTCGTTCTTTAATTGGGTAAGACAGGCTGATTGAGAAAAACAACATTAGCGTAAACAAATAGATTGCTTCAATCATCCTCATTACGTCATACTTTGCCAGGTTTTGTGAAAACAAAAATTTTTTGCACTCAGTCAATTTGAATGTCAAGCAGGCAATGTATCTATGTAATTACGTGGTGCACTCTGTTTGCTATATTGAACACAAGACGACACGCCTAGACGGGGAGATTTTTTATACGTACAATAGGGGTGTTGCATGGGCTTGAAAGGGGGTGGGGGTAGTTGGTGGGGGGGAGGTACGGCGGGTTTGAAAGCAAAGAGTCTAGCCCAAGAGTGGGGTATGTAGGATAATTGCCCTCCCATTATCTAAATACCACAAAATCTATATTATACACACACCAGAAATTAACAGTATAAACACTCCACCCCCCCCCCGCCTTCTCGTCTCAAAATAAATGCGTTCAATTCCAATTGATTGAATAAACATGCACATCGTTAGGTTGTTACCACAGTTTAAGATAATTAGCATTATACCTGACACTAACCCTAATCTTAATAAAATATCCGCATGTCTAATCCTAAACCTAACTGAGGAGTAAGATGTATCGGAATCGGCTGTACCAGAGATTCGAGTACGTGGTTCTAGCTAATCGATACGTATCCAAACTCACGGGAATGTAAACAACCGATGCTGAATGGTGTGAACTCTCAATAGTGAGCAATGGCACCCGCCGTGATAAACATTGGACTAGCACCTCACAGCACGCGGTATGATAAACACTGGGCCAGCACCTTAGAGCACCAGATATGATAAACATTGGACTAGCACCTTAGAGCACCAGATATGATAAACATTGGACTAGCACCTTATAGCAACCTCTATGATAAACATTGGACTAGCACCTTACAGCACCAGATATGATAAACATTGGACTAGCACCTTACAGCACCCGCCGTTATAAACATTGGACTAGCACCTTAGAGCACCAGATATGATAAACAATCAACTAGCACTTAACAGCACCCGCCGTTATAAACATTGGACTAGCCCCTAATAAATACCCACCGTGATAAATAATCGACTAGCACCTAAGAGCACCCCACTAGCTCCTAATAAAAACCAGCCGTCATAAGCAATCGACCAGCACCTAATAAAAAACAAAATAGCCGTAATAAACAATGAAATAGCACCTAAATCACTCGCCGATTTGTGTGTTGTTTTCGTTAAAACAGTAGACACTGGCTTTTTTTTCAAAGCTACCATGGTAGGCAAAGTGGCTTTTTTATTATGCTAGTAGGCAAAGTGGCTTTTTTATTATGCTAGTAGGCAAAGTGGCTTTTTAACTCTGGACATTTGTAAAATATTTGCGAAACCTGACCGCTATTACTTCCCAATTAAAAAACACACCACAATATTTGAAATCGAAACCTTTGCAATAAACAATTTAAAAAAGAGAATTGTGTTCACTAACAAGACACTTTTAAAAAAAAAATCAACAACAGCTCAATTTTCAAATCACTTCGTTGTTTATATTCCATAAAAATCAATATTCCTTTTAAAATTTGAATATCCATGAAATGTCAGAACGCCAGCGGTATTGATTGGAACACGCGAATTTTGAGTCGTGTTTTAATTATGGATGGGAAGAGATGAAATATTAACTAGGGGGGCGGAAAGCGGCGGCCCCGTTCTAAACATAAGGCAAGGATACACAGCGGCACGAAGTCCCTATCAACATGCACGTGAATAACCACGCCCACCCCGTGACAAATAGAGGCTACGAACGCTCATCCTCGTCATGGGAGTACTCACTCATGAAGAGAATACAGTATATAAATATAACACAACTGTGTTTGTTTTTGTATATAATATAATCACCGAACACAAATCACCAGTGAATACCACACGTCACACACACAAGACTCGAAGGTGAGTCGAACTGGACGTCTTGAAGATCTAGTCTGAATTCTCTCTCTTCCCCCTCCCCCCTCCCCCACCCCCACATCGGCTGCCCGCGAGACTGCGCGCGGCTGAGCTAGCCATTGTGATAGCAGTGTCGGCCATTGGTTTTCCCAGAGTATCCTTGGTTCCATCTCTCGCAGTGGCGGCCATTTGTTTTCCCAGAGTATCCTTGGTTCCATCTCTCGCAGTGGCGGCCATTTGTTTTCCCAGAGTATCCTTGGTTCCATCTCTCGCAGTGGCGGCCATTTGTTTTCCCAGAGTATCCTTGGTTCCATCTCTCGCAGTGTCGGCCATTTGTTTTCCCAGAGTATCCTTGGTTCCATCTCTCGCAGTGTCGGCCATTGGTTTTCCCAGAGTATCCTTGGTTCCATCTCTCGCAGTGTCGGCCATTTGTTTTCCCAGAGTATCCTTGGTTCCATCTCTCGCAGTGTCGGCCCTTTGTTTTCCCAGAGTATCCTTGGTTCCATCTCTCGCAGTGTCGGCCATTGGTTTTCCCAGAGTATCCTTGGTTCCATCTCTCGCAGTGTCGGCCATTGGTTTTCCCAGAGTATCCTTGGTACCATCTCTCGCAGTGTCGGCCATTGGTTTTCCCAGAGTATCCTTGGTTCCATCTCTCGCAGTGTCGGCCATTGGTTTTCCCAGAGTATCCTTGGTTCCATCTCTCGCAGTGGCGGCCATTTGTTTTCCCAGAGTATCCTTGGTTCCATCTCTCGCAGTGGCGGCCATTTGTTTTCCCAGAGTATCCTTGGTTCCATCTCTCGCAGTGTCGGCCATTGGTTTTCCCAGAGTATCCTTGGTTCCATCTCTCGCAGTGTCGGCCATTGGTTTTCCCAGAGTATCCTTGGTTCCATCTCTCGCAGTGTCGGCCATTGGTTTTCCCAGAGTATCCTTGGTTCCATCTCTCGCAGTGTCGGCCATTTGTTTTCCCAGAGTATCCTTGGTTCCATCTCTCGCAGTGTCGGCCATTGGTTTTCCCAGAGTATCCTTGGTTCCATCTCTCGCAGTGTCGGCCATTGGTTTTCACAGAGTATCCTTGGTTCCATCTCTCTGTCGATAGCCTTGTGACATAGGGCACCGGGGGTTTTGTACCAAACATGTAGTGTATGGGCTAGAAATCACAGGGTATATTATGTACAACATACGGTCTAAAGTTTACATATATGTGGTCTACAACACATATGGTGTATGTTTGAAATAAGACCTACACTTTTTATATATGTGGTCTACAAAACACATATGGTGTATGTTTAAAATAAGGCTTATACTTCTCACACATGTGGTCTACAAAATACATGATTTTTGTCCAATGTAATGTATAGGTCTACACAAATTACATACGTGTTCATCAAAAACATACAGTGTGTATGTTTAATATTAGGCGTATACTTTTTTATTTATGTGGTCTACAAAACTCATATGGTCTATGTTCAACTTAAGGCATACACTACTTATATAGGCCTATGTGATCTACACAACATACATATTATTAAACATATTCTATGCACAAAGCTAGGTAGGTCTATATATTTTATTTAGATAGGTTCGAATATCTAATTGACGATCTAAATTTTAAATAAGACATAGATCTACACTCCATTTAAATATTTTCTATATCAAATCGATGATCTGAATTTAAAATAAAGCATACTCTCTATGTAAATGTAATCTAAATCGCATACAGCTTTCCTCAAATAAATATGATCTTTGCTACATGTCACATACGGCACGCACACGACACGCAGATCACATATTCTAAACATAACCAACGTCCAACAATCACAACACATTACATATTTTTTAAACATAACCCATATTCAACAAACACATCGCATACATATTTTAAACGTAATCCACTTCCAACACAACACAAACACAATTTCTTTTTCACACTATGTTAAATTATGTAAATCGAATACATCTATAATCATTTTGACTGCACCAGCTAACCTAGGAATATGTCTTATCAAACTCAAGGCACCCCCCCCCCCCGCCCCAATAGCGGTGGTCGACTCCACGGCATCACACATCTTTCACAGACATACATGCACATGCCTACACCAACACACACAAATACATACAAACACGCTAGCTTACACTAACAGACACACACACACACATAGATACACATAAACTTACACCAACAGACATACACACAAGATTACACCAACAGACACACACACACATATACACACACACACACACACACACACACACACACACACAAAGACACATTGAACACGTATGTGAAGAAAAGACGGGTTCAAATCCCGATCAGCTAAGTCTTAGTAACCCAGCCCCTTTTTTATACGCTTGAATGCGAATATCGTTGCCAGGGTTAGGATTATTACAATGGTTATACACACGTTCATTTAACGTCGTGGTCAATGTAGAACATTCGGATGCTAGCCCGAAGGTCCAAGGTTGGTATCTTGGTTCGGACGTGGAACTTGCAGTACATCCCTGAGTCCACCCAGCTCTGATGGGTACCTGGCTCAAGTTGTGGAAACTAAAGGCGGCTCGGCAAAGTGCTGACCACACAATCCCTTCATATGCCGAAGTCATGAAACGTATGATCTGTACTTCATTTGTCCTATGGATTGTTAGGTCTGAACAGGGAGCTTTACTTTAACTTTACTAACGATCAAAGTCATGGAGCAACATAATAATTAGGCAACTAATTAAGTCAAATTTAATGTCATATTACATTGTCTTCATGTCTTGACCCACGTACCAACTATGAACCGAATATGTCAGTTAGAAGTGCCCGAATTTTCGCTAGGGCGTTTCGATCTAGACAGAAAGACAGACGACAGACTGATGACAGAGAAAGTGAGTTAAATATAAGCTTGTAAAAATAACCATTTCTTCCATCACCAAAAAAAGATTGATGGACAATGTAGTCAACCGCGAAAAATCTCGTAATTTTGTATAAAATATGTTTTAAATGTGGTGCAACGTTATTAAAATAAATAGATCCACGGTTCTAAAAAAAAGCTGGCTGTTTGATTTTTGTCTTACGAAAATGAAACTTCAGGTTATAACTTAAAGCTTGATGAAAATAGAAATGTAACCTTAAACTCAAAAAAATATTTTCAAGTTCTCTGGATTTTCAACTTTTTTCAGCATTGATTCTAAAAATATTATATTTCTGAATTATTTTCCAGCTTAAGTTTTTTGTCTATTTATTTTTTACGGTCGCTTGGATGGCAAAATATTAAAAAAAAATAAAAAAAATAAAATAAAATAAAATACACGTTTTTTATCCATGTCAACAAGAATGGTCGAACATAACTTGTCAACCGCGGCAGCCCATAATGATGTATGGACATACAGAATCCACATAGCATGAGATTTTAAACCCCGGACTAAGCTGGTCATAAATTTAGCTGAAGTCAAATAGAAGAGTGTTTCTTTCAGGCATCTATTCGAAAAAGTCTACCGACATCCCCCCACCCCCGAACGAAATGGAATTTATCTAGAAAATATATATACAGTGTCCGCCCCCCGGAAATTTTAGTCCGCCCCCCCTCCCTGAAAATTTCAAGTGCCCCCCCCCCCCCCGGTAAAAAGTCTGGAAGAAACACTGAAATAGAAGCTGGTCGTTAGGATGCTCGTACTTACATTAAAGCCGATTATAACTGATATTGATACTAAAATGATGGTAATTTTTACTGCTGCGTACGTGTGACGATGATAATTGCTAATGCAAAAAAAAATGTAATCTATTATAACTGATATTTATGTTGAAGATAAAGTTGATTGTATCCGAAGTAAAAATTGAAGCTTTATTTAGCTGAGGTATATGACGTAAAAATTTAAACAAAAAATTGAAGATGATTTAACTTATGGTTAGGATTACAATAAGTTTTTGTGAGGCGAAAAAAAAAACCTGGAGAGAAACGTCAGAGTTACTTCCCTGTCAACAAGCTCGCTGGTTGTTTCAAATAAAATTTGACATCGGTTGTCGTTCATTGCTGCTTGTGATGATTATTAATAACACTCGGGACAATTGTCTTCGCGGAGTCAAAGAATTTAAACAGCTGTTAACGTTATACGTTCGCATCCGTGTATGTGTTTAAGCACGCATGCGCGTATGTGTACGTGTGTGTATGAGAGCGAGCGTGATAATGTGGATTCAAAA